TATGTTTTTCACTCTAAATTACATAATTATACATAATCACCAGCAGTAAACTGGACGCTGTCTGACTCCCTCACTCACAAGACGGAGAATGTTTTCCGGTGGAAAGTAAACTGATGTCTCGGTCCGGAGGGCTGGCAGTTGTGGTGATTTTTGATCGCATACAGTTTTTCGCCGGTGACAGACGCTGTTTTTCGGGCAGAAATGTAACAGAAGAGTTGGTAGGACAGGCTGGAGGACAGACGCTTCTCCACGTACAGCTGTGGTATGTTTTTTTCCTCATGTAAGTTGCCAAAGACAGTTACAGTTACTACGTTACTGTTGTTTGGTCCTGTAAGGTTGCTTTGTGGGACATTTTCTCTTTATTATGAGTGAGAGACCTGTGCAGTTATCAGACTGTCTGACCTTCACACTATTTTGGTAGTTTCATAACCATTTTTTGATGTGGAAACCCTTACTGCCATTGCTCTCTCTCTCTCTCCCTCTCTCTCTCTCTCTCTCTCTCTCTCTCTCTCTCTCTCTGTCTGATGTATGCTAGCCTATATTACAGGGCTAAATAATATGTCCTGCCCAGTTCATTTACTAGGCTATGCTACAAGTTAGTCTGTTTATGCTGCCAGGTTTCATCCCATTTCAGATTTCTTTCTTCTTTCAGAATTTATATGCGCTGACCATGAGGTGTGGTACTTTCACATTAGTGGAATGGGGTTCATCTCCCTACAGTGTCCTTGCTAAAAGACAAATTATATGAAAACACAATAGTTATCAATCTCCCTGACGTCCCACCTTCAAACTCAACCTCATTTGGCCATCTATGAAAAAGCTACTTAACCTCCCATTTTCTATAGCAATACATACTTCCTACAGGCACTGCACTAGTAAATAAAATGTTATCGTATTTTTAACTTTTATATATATATATATATATATATATATATATACATACATATATTTTAAAACACTAGCTAGCTATCAGCAATGTCGGTATACCCAAATCAATATCAAGATTTGCAAGAATGAGCAGCCTGAGGTAGCGAGCTGAATAGCGGACGGGATGTTGGAGGATTGTTTATACAAAGTATTGCTTAGTTCAGAGGGGCATTGTGTCACCATTCTGTGGTGTTCAGAGGATGAGGCAGAAAAGGACTACACTCAGTGTTGTAGGATATATTTATGAGATATTCAGATTTTGTTTTCATTCAATTTATTTCTGCACATTCATTTAGAACGACAGACAGTTTCACTGGAAGTACGTAACAAGTGTCCTACATCAGGAATTAATCAAATCAGAACTGAGTTTTCATCCAGACCATGGTATAAAGGGCATTAGTGAGAGCTGCGAGACTCAACCATAGAGTCTATCCAAAACAATAAGCTAAAAGAAGCAAAAACTGCAGAGCGGCAATGTTACTTCTAAGTGGGTACTATTTATACTTACTTTATTAATTGCAAATATCAAACAAAGGTTAAGAGTCATTTTCTGGTTCTATATGTATTCTAAATTTGCAAATATCCTTGAGAGAGGGAGGTAATTACAAATATTGAGGAAAGGACACATGGTGTATCTTGTCAACAAGCATTACTGACTATTAACTTTACATTTCTTCCTAGAAAGTGGGTGATGAGCTTTTCCCAGAGAAGGATGGAAAGATTCTGACCTCTGACATAGACTATATAGATGTGTGGAGGGTAAGAACACATGTACGGTCTCCTTTTGCATGTGCACTGGCACTAGCTCAATCACTGAAAGAACGATGAAAAAACATTATAGCTGAAATAGTAATGGCTAAAGGGAATGGAAATTACATAAATGTACACATACAAATATTTATATACAGTAAATGCACTTCTGTCAGAAAAACAGAATATAAATGGTTTCCTAAACGTTTTTCTCCCTTAAGGTTAATTTAAATAAAGCATACTTCACCCATCTGGCATAGGAAGGAGAATTTGAACTTTTTTAGTTAAACCACATAAGCCTTTTAGCATGGATGAGAGACGTGTGTTACTGCTGTTGTGTTTGCAGGGGATGGAAGCCCTGCAAGCCTCAGGGAAGGTGAAGAGCATCGGTGTGTCCAACTTCAGCATCCTGCAGCTGGAGAGACTTCTTGCTCTGTGCAGGGTTCCTCCTGCTGTCAATCAGGTACTGCATATTTAGCTCCTTTATAAAAAATAAGCAGGAGAAAGTCTCTTTATTCAAAACATTTTTGTTTTATATTTACTTTCTTATCATTCTTAAAGTATGGATCCATGTCCTATACTTTCATTTACTGTGCTAGTAAGAAGTGATTTGCGGTGTCCTGATTTACTCACATTACATTATACATTGGTGCACCTAGCTTACTGTAACTGTACTGTAACAAGTCATGCTTTTATTTACATTGTTCTTTAAGGAGAACTTCCCAGAGTGAAATTATGGTCCTCCAGCTCCACCTTCAGAAAATTCCTAAGCTGTCTCAATCAGCATCTGTATGTGCTCACCTTTTATTTGGTGTTATGTCATTCATAGGTGGAGCTACATCCCTACTTGGTGCAGACAGACATGATAGAGTTCTGTAAATCCAAGAACATCGCCCTGACTGCCCACAGCCCCTTCGGCTCACCTGGGAGACCTCCAGAGCTGTAAGACATACAGCATCACTCACACACTCCACTGACTCATACTGATGATTAAAAAGGAATCAAGAACCTGAATAATATCTGTTGATATCAGTTCATATCAAGTTCGGTGTGATCATGCTCAGGGGTCATTTTTGTGGACACACTTATTTAGATCCACATGTGTTGGTTCATGCTGCACAGTCTCAACCACATTAGAGCCCGTAAACAAATAACTCAGGGGTTGTTATTGTACAGGTTATCTCTCATCCTATAGCTAACCCTTTGTCTACCTAATCCTACATCTTCACATCAGTTAAGAGAGTACAGAAAAACTGTTTTGCTCTTTAATTTCATGTATTAACAAACAGGATACATTTTGGACAAGAGCTGTGTATTGGCAAGAGTCTAGCAATATGAAAGGTATCACAATACAGGGGTTACGATTCAACATCTAAAAAAACAAATTTTAGGAAAAACTGGTTTAAAGAACACACCACTATATACAAAAATTTTCAAAAAGCTGACTTTTGGGCACCCTGGTGGCTCACCTGGTGGAGCAAATATGACAAAAAGTTATTTTTATATAAGTTACCTACTGCAGCTTTAACGTCGGTCACAGCGGTGGTACTTGGAGAGAAGTATATGCAGACGTGGATCCTGAGACGAGCTCTACCAGTTTTAGTTTCTCCTCGTGGACTTCTTATAATTAGTTCTAAAAAGATCTTACTGATGTGGTCTGGCTTTGCGAGGTCAGCAGGTCAGCAGATGTTACAACACCTAGCCTCATTGCTATGGTGTAGGTTTTATTCTCTAATAAGCCTTATCTGATCTACAACCTCTGAGCCTGAGTTCAATAGAAGTAGTCTAATGAAATTCACAGCTCCAGCTGACTGCAGACGGGGTTCTTTGATGTTTCTGGTGCTGAAGTAGGATGCAGTATCAGAAATATGAAGGAATGAGTGCGATAGAAATGTAATACCCGCCGACTGATAAAAAAATCTCTGTGCCCTTTTTATCTTTCCTATCTCAGGTTCAGAGGAGACACTGATCCACATAAGCTCCTGGAGGACCCGGTTGTTGCAGATATAGCCAAGAAGCACAGGCACAGCCCTGCACAGGTGAGTGTGAGTGTGTGCGCTGTAAATGTTTGTGTGTATTTCTTTGTTAGTAACAGTGGTATATTCTCCCAGGTACTGCTGAGGTACCATGTGCAGCAGGGTATTTCAGTCATCCCTAAGAGTGACAAGCCTCATCACATCCTGGAAAACACAAAGGTGAAACCTCTCCACCGCTCCACGTCTACACACTGTCTATCTCTCAGGCTCACTCTTTTGAACGGCACACTTTCTTTAGTGCTCACTTTACTGCTTTGTGAAAGCAGTGTCATTAGACATTGTTCACTTCTCACAGATTGTGGATGTTTGAATTGTTTGGTTGCTTTTGGGAAACTGCAGAATGCCACTTCCACCTACATGCAGCTATGGCCCAACAGAGCTCCTACTTCCAACCAAATTCAGTTTTTCAAAAACAAGCCATATTTGTTTTATTTTTATTTTTATATATGTACATATTTAAAACTGCATTCATACCAAGGCTGAGTCCTTGCTGCTGCGGCTGGGTTTGAATCCAACCTGTGGTCCTTCGCTGTGTGTCATATACTGTATATAAAAAGTATAACAACAATGGGCTGGATGAGGAGTCCAGGGATCACCAAAGTTATTACACTGGGGAACACATTTAATGGCAATCCAACCAATAGAATAATGCCAGAGCTGTACTATCATTCAGCACAAAAAGCGTTATCATGGAGTATGTGATGTATTAGGACTATGAGCATCAGTGTGTCTGTAAAAGCAAGCTGTCAGAATCTGTTTCTGTTTTGTGCAGATCTTTGACTTCAGCCTGACTGAAGAAGACATGAGAGCACTGAGAGGACTGGACCGAGGCTGGAGGGCCGACATGATTGAAGAGTAAGTCACCACATCCATTCTGGTAATAGTCGTGCAGCTATTTCCACACTGATGACTGTTTGTCTGTTTCTCAGACTCAAGTCTCATCCGTACTACCCCTTTGTATGAAGCTGCCAGGAGAGAGGAGAGAGAAACTACTACTAATGCCATACACATCAACAGGACCAGCTGCAGTATCACACTGTAATCCATTAGTGACTTGTTTACCAAATAATGATGAAATGTGACGATGAAGACAAATCTGAAGAAGATTCAGTCTCCAAATATGAATGTACTAAATGTGACCAACACGTATCAGAGCTCTTTTCTATTGCGCTGAAAACTTACTTTTCTCTTTCTATTTTCCTGTTGTGAATAAAATACTGTACGTTTTTATTATTATTATTTTATTAATTTGATAAGTTAAGATTTACAAAGGACCAGTCCAACATATAACTCTGAAACACTTATATTTTATTACAATACTGAGCACATTATAACCACACTCATCACACTCACTGTATATGTGTGTTAAGGTAGGCATTTCCGGATGAACCTTGGAAAAGCATTAAGCCTCTCAGGGCTTCCGTAATGTAACATTTTCTCTGTGAGGATTTGTGCTTTGGTGTGTGACACCGGAGTACAGGCGATGCTTTCCAGTGTGCAGACAGGTTTAAATCTGTCTATATACTTATAAAATAACACAAATAATCAAGAATGATGTACTTTGTACTCTAGAGGCAGTGCTTAGAGACAATGACAATTCTACTGCTTTTAGTCCTGCAAAGTGGGTAGTCCTTGGAGCTGGAATGAGGAATCTGAGGGTGTCTTGGGATTTGGTGCACCACAGGTGTCACCTGACCCAGTATCTAACAGAGAAAGAGCAACACAATTGACTCAGGCATTCAGTGTGTTAATCAACTACAGTTCTTGTAGGAGACCCTTCTCAAACGAAAGCAGAGTGAAATATTTTATCTTTCCCACCCCTCTTACAAATCAGTAGCAACTCTTGAAACAACTGGTCCTTGATTTCAGACAAGACAAAAGCAGCTTATTGTTGCTAGTCGCTGCTGTTTTGCTAGCTGTAAAGACAAATGTCCCTGGCACTGGTTTTAAAACAAGTAGACTGCAAGAGGAGTCTTATGTTCTTAATGGCTTTCTAACATCATATTGTGCTAAAAGACTGAGGCTAAAGCTGCACGCCCCAGGCCATAAGTCAGCTTCCTCACTGTATGATCAATGTGGAAGACATGCAAATAAAGCATTAGTCTTGTTTTACAGTGTTAGGGGCCAATGACAGAGACGCATTGCTACAGGTGTGTAGAGAGGCATCGTGCTCAACCAGGTGATCAAATATGATCAACAGAAAAAATGTATTGAAGCACACATTAAGCTCTGTATGAGTGAAGTGAACTCATTTCAAAGAGATGAAGGTTTGAAACATCACAGTCTGCTGTTCTGTCCATTATGTGTAGATTCTTTTGGCTTCTGGTTTGAAGAAAATTAAATTAAATTAATATATAAAACCAAAATACAGATGTATGCTGGTTAAGAGTTTTTCATGTGTTTAACGGTTCCAAACTATCAGTAATGTACAAAAGAATCAGCGGGTATACCCAGTTTTAACACAACCTTCCTGGTGGCTTTCCTGTGTGCATGGGATGGATTTATTCACAGCACAGACTAGAGTGCAAGACTACAACTCCCACGCTTAAATCTTGAGCTTAATCTTTCAAGTTAACACTTAATATCAACCCATCATTCAGCCTCCGAACTTCTACAAGCTCTCATTTCCTGACTTTAAAAAGACAAGACAGACACCTGAATGCAAAAGCATACTGTTGCATCTACGGTAGCAAGGAGACAAAAATGATTGCTGTCTTCAGATGATATCTAACTGTGAATGCTTATGCAACACAAAGACTGTGCATCATATAATGTAGCTGTTGTCAACATACACTTATTAGTTGTTATTTGCTAAAGGAAATTGTTAATTCAGTGTTTATCATTATTGCTCCTCCTGTCCCTTGTTGTGATGCTGCAGTGCCTCTGGGCAAAATTATTCTGATACTAAATATCTTCTATTGAAGAGTTAGTATCTGAAGTACACCAAGCTCTGCCAAAAGTCTGGCCTTATTTTTGCACCAACAGAAAGACCTTCAACACGGATACGTGGGGTGTGACATTCCTTTCATCCCTCGTCCCATCTTCTTCCTCTCCGAAGAGGGAGATGATTGTGAGGGTTTCACGGTGCACACACAAGCCGAGGCCCCTGCGATGCGTTTCGGCAGGTCTGGCCCTCTGGACCATGAGCCCTTATCGGGGTTGTACACCTGAGTGGCTCTGGAGAACGCCATACTCTCCCAGCTGTAGCCCCCAAGCACATAGATCCTCCCTGCCCAGACTGCGAGCCCTGCCTCACTGTTAGGCAGCAGCAGTGGCGCCACCCGGGTCCACTGGCCACCGTGCGGGTCATAGGACTCCACCTGCAGGATGTCAAAGCGCTCTGTGGTGTCCTCGTGGTCATTGCTGCCCCCGATGGCGTAGATGAGGTGGTTGAGGGAGGCCATGCAGTGCCAGCCCCGGGCCAGAGACATAGCCTGGCATTCCACCCAAACGTCACTGTCCCGTGATGGATCATAACTCAGGAAATCTCGGCGGTATGGGCCGATCTGATAGTCGTGACCACCTGAGATGTAGACTATGCCGTCGAGGACCGTCCCAGCATGGCCGTAAGTACACCTACAAAAGACAGAATTCAAAAAGCCAAACTGTTTAACGGCTTAAGAAAAAAATGTAACAACTATGATAAAGAAACAAAAAGCTGCCATAAAATAAAGGTAAAGGTACTCAAATAAAGAAAATATAATAAAGACTACATGTGTACAGCCATGCTAGCAGCCCTATGAGGCCGTAACGAGAGCAGCCCATCCGAGTACTTTGGCCTTATGTCAAGCTCCCACCCCCTTTTCCGGTGAAAACAGTCCCTCTAATTTGTCTTTGCCAACTTCATACGATAAAATAAGAATAGTATATTGCAGTAGTAACGTGTGTTCCTACCTGGGCAGTTCTGCCACGTAGGACCAGCAGTCCTCAGCGGGACAATAAACCTCCACAGAGGACAAAGCTCCATTGTCATTTCTCCCACCCACGGCAATCAGGCACTCTCCAACTACCCCGAGGTAGAAATCCACTCGCCGCTGATTCATTGGAGCACCCTGGAAAAACACACTGTCACACTGTCACTGCTAAAAGACAACAAATGAACAAAGTGTGAACAAAAAAATAAATAAATAATGAAATCCTTCACTGGATATTCTGGCACTTTTGTTAAAATGAACATCCAAATCTGCATCTTCTGTGTATGCTGCTATATAAACGGACCAGTAATCGATAAGGAGAATAGAAGTGGCTCTTTGCTACAGTACCTTGGTCCACTGGTTGTGGCGGGGGTCGTATCTGTACAGCAGGTTACAGGCTGCGTCACCACCATTGTCCCTGGACGAGCTGCCGCCAGCAGCGAAGATAAAGCCCCCCAGCACTGCCAGGCAGTGATGGCTCCGCTGGGCCGGCAGCTCGGTTTCCACCTCCCAGCTTCCTGTTTCACCGTCCAGTCGGCAAACATTGGCACTCAGCTCCTCTCCACGTTCTGACACCTCGAGAAGTAAAGAGAGAAGGTTACAGGAATCTAGTGAGATTCTGGTTTTGTTTTTTTAGATATATTTTATTGGTGTTAATTGATAGAGACAGCTGAAGAGTGACAGGAAAAGGGGGGAGAGAGTGGGGGACACGCAGCAAAGGGCCACAGGTTGTAGTTGAACGCCTGGCCACTGCAGCAAGGACTACACCAGCTCTTACAGGTCTGCTCTGTTCTGCTGAGTTTAAATGTCAGGATCAGTCTTTAACGGCCATAGTCAAATCAAGTCTCAAGTCATTTAAGAGGAGGCCAAGTCATGTCACAATTCTTACTAAGGATGTGCATGATTAGTTGACAAGTGGGTTAAATGTTGCTACTGGTTAACTGTTGCGTCTCCATCTCCCTGCTGGTATAGTCATTATATTTGGTTACTGTGGTCTGCTTTGTGATTCTACCAGGCAATCCCACTCTCCACCCATCTAACCTCACACAACAAATCGGTTAGACATGGCACTATTCAGGGGGAAGGATATACTGGGGTATCAAATAGAGTAAGTTGTGAAGCCTGGCTGTGTGTGGCTGTCTTTAAATTGTGCTAAATTTGGACTGTGTTCTGTGTTTTCTTACTTTTAGATTAAGCAATTTAAATGTTTCTTTAATCTGCAGCAACATTAGATACCAAGAACATCCCCAATTCTTACAATAGAAAGTCTCAAATTAAAGTTGTATGGCTGTGTAAGGCCTATGAATCTCTATCTTATTTATTTTATCTGGTTATGACATATTACCAACTTGACACTTACATATATTTTGTTTCAAGTTAAGTCTTTAGTCAATCCAGTCTTAAGTCCAGTTAATCCAGTCAAGAATCTTATCACTCAAGTCCAAATCAAATTCTTCATTTTTGACTCAGTGTCCTCAGTGTCCTGGAGAGTTTTTCCCTTTGGCAGTAATATTTAACAATTTCTGTGATTTTTTAAATATCAAAAGAGTGGCACTTTCATTTAACAGTAAACTTTTATCTGATTTACATCTCTACCTCTCCTCCAATCAGCAGGAGCCGCTCTACTCCCTCCCTCAGCGTGGTGCGTCCTGTTTGCAGGAGCGGCTGGGCGCTGGGCCTGGCGTGATACGCCAGAGATTCCTCCACCAGGGCCTCACATCCGGCCTCCTCCGGCAGCAAGGCCCGCACCGCCGGCAGCACCCGTCCCACGAGGTCCCCCATCGGCATCAGAGGGAAGCGGATGTGGGAGAGGAGCTGCCTGGCGTGAACGGTACGCTCGGGACTGTGGCTGAGCCACTGCAGGGCGGCCTGGAGGAGCGCTTGCTCGCTGTCATGCTGAACCTGATAATGGAGAGATTACTTCTTATGATGTCACTGCTGTGTTCAAGGTCAAGAATAAACCCTCAATCTCAGCGTATAAACAATATTTACCTGGCCACTGGAGAGGTAAGAGGTGAGTTTGTGTAAAGGAATGTCCCGCAGGAAATCGGGGGTGAAGGAGAGTGTGGCGAAGCGTGCAAGGATAAAGTGGTCGATGAATGTGTCGAGACGCTCCAGACTGTAGAGCAGAGCCAGCTCCTGCAGGTACAGGTAGTTGTCCTCACTCACCTCCCTCTCCAGGTACTGGCAGCAGAAATCCACCACACGCCACACCTGAACAACAGCAGGTTTCTACATCACATTTTACTTAACATCTTAAAGGGTTCAGTGTGTAACATTTAGGAGGATCTATTGGCAGAAATGTAATATAACATTCATTGGTTTGTTTTCATTTGTGTATAATAATTATAAAAGTTGTTTACTTTCATACTTATGGGTTTGTATGTGCTGAACAGAAAATGCATAAAGTTTCTTACCTGTAGGAGGTGGGCAGCTTCCAGCACATAGTCAATGTTTCCTCCATCCAATGGCAGCTCTCCACTGTACAGGAAGTCCACTACAGCCGTCAGACCGATGTAGGACATCCCAACCAGCTGCACCTGCAGACAGGAAGAGGACAAAGGAGGTTAATTGGTAGTCACACATATACTAGACATTAATAATAATTTTAATAGTAACGATAATAAATATGCAAAATGAGACAGAAAATAAATAAGATGAGAATAATGTAGAAAAACACAACAAGTAAGGGAAATAAGACCGTAAGGCTAATTTTCTTTCCAGCCTCCTATGTACCTCCTCCTGGCGTTCCTCCCTCATGCCCAAGGTGAACATAGCGTAGAAGTACGGGCTGGAGACAGCCAGCAGAGCTCGATGCGCGGGGAGCCGCTGGTCGTCGGCCACCAGCACCACATCACAGAACTGGCTGTGCTGCCGCTGCTCATTGAGGCCCTGCAACACCTCCAAACCTTGTTCCACGCAGCGGAACACCTGCCAACACAACAACACAATGACAACAAGGCTGGCCCTGTTTACACCTGCCATTAAAACGCGTCACTGGTGATTGGATCAAAAGTGGACAGCTCTACTAGACTGTTGTGACTCCAGATGTGGCTTCCAGTTGGCTCAGGCTAATCTGTAGTAAATTTTTCAGTTGCATTTATAAGAGGGACGGACTGAAAACTACACACTGATCAGAGCCAGCAACATGTTTGTGTGTGTGACTTTTTTAAATAAATGAATGAAATAGAAAAATACATTGGGTTATGCTGACTGGTACTGAAGGGAGAGCGGGGTACAGTGTGTCAGAAGTCACATCATTCAACTGCATTATTCTATACATTATAATGTAATATAAATGTAACGCTTAATGTTTTAGATCAGACTGACTGTCTTTTAGAAGGACCAACTTCCCGAAACTCACAAAGGGGAGTGCCAACACTGTTCCACAGCAGCCACACTGACAAGTGTTTATCTTTGTTTATCGGCCCTATGGGTGCAGACATCTGCAAATGCCAATTATCTCTAAATGCCAGATAATTAAGTTATCCTTTATTGATTCATTTGACACATGTAATGGCAATTTTTAAGAACCTATACAACCCTTTGACCTGGTCATTGTAAAACCATACGCAACTGTTGAAGAGGATATTATATGCATATAACCTTTAGCCCTGTTTCTATCTACACTGCATGTCCAAGTAAACAGCGGGATGTTGAGACTTCACTAAGAAGCCAAGGACATGATCATCGCACCACACTATCTGTCTGTTTACTGTCCCAGAACTCAGGAATGTGTAACTGTGTTAGAGTGACGCTCCAACAGGGATAAAACCATACTGCTTCTTTAACATTCGATAGTGTGTGACGGCTGCGCTGACTCTATTAATGGATGACTTGAATAAAACCTTACAGAAAGACAAGATCATACTTTGTATGCTTTATTAAACAAATTGCCACCACACACATTTGACAAACAACACACTTCCACTACCAACACTGCTGATTTGCTGGTATGCTTGATCTCCAAGGAGAAATTAAGAAGAGGGAAGAAGAATTATTACTTTATTAATCCCAGATTGGGAAATTATTTTTTAATGCAAACATTTTTTGCACACACAGGGTTTATAGACATACAAATGCAGAGAGACGGCGGAGAGATGGGCTGCCAGATGTGAGTCCGACTGTATGGTTCAGCTCTCACTGTCTCTCACTGTCTCTCTCACTGTCTCTCTCTCTCTCTCTCTCTCTCACACACACACACACACACACACACACACACACACACACACACACACACACACACTGACCTTGGACGATTCACTGATCCGCTGGGGCCGACACACACGGCTCACTTTTCCATTGTCCATTATGTTCCCTCAGACAGGCATCACCTAGAGGACACACACATATGTGTTACAACACTTCTGAAGAACTCACCTAACGCTAACTGTACCTCATTCTTACTGAATGAATGTGTGACCAGGACAGCGACATCCTAGCTGAGTAACTGTAGAGCACCTACTGTCCTCATCTGTCTGTGCTGTGAGGACATTTGGTCTATATTAGAATATATTGGAATACATATTACAACAATACACACTTTTTCTCTCACACACGCAGTCAATGACAATACAGCATATTAAGTTCAGTCGCTTTGTGCTTTAAAGCCTAGAACCTGTGGTTGTTCTACAGTGACAGTGCTTACATTTGGACGTGTGGTGGAGCAGCAGACGGTAGCGGGGTACACTGTGATACAGCTAACAGCATCTCTCGTTAGCGTAGAGCAGCTGCATTTCTGAAGGAAACCGTGGACATACGACGTTTTTCAACGACGACACAAACTGACCCGCTTCCTGAAACTCTCTGTTCTCACACAGTGTCTTCTTACAGAGACATGTTCCTGTAAATACATTGTTAGAGCACAGAAAGGACTGCACAGTGTAGCATACCGTAAACTAGCTTGAATAAACAAACCAACTTCCGGTGTTGCTTTTCAAAATAAACTCTTTTGTCTCATGACTCCAGAACTCTCAGCCAAATAAAAAACATGCAAGGAGGGATAATGAGGAAAATTAAAAGACATGTGGTTAAATTTAACAAATCCCGAGACCTGACAGTGGGACAGCTTCGCGTAGCCATGTAACCTCAAAACGGATTTTTAAAGGCTCAAGAGGTTTAAAGTTGAAGGATTGTTCGAAAATTACTTTTGTTACATTTTGACTCATATAAAGAAAGGACACTGCTGACAGAAACCAGTGGTCAGTCAAAATGTAACTGTTTATGTCATTTTACTTGATAATAAAATGAAATGACATTTGCCACCTCATTTTGTCATTTTATTTTGAAGCCGAAGCTTTTCGCGAGCTAGATTAACGGAGCTGGTTTTAACACATCCAGGAAATAATATGCAGCTAATGGACCAATCACAACCGGCTCTATGCGAGCACATTCAAGACAGGCAATGTCACCGATGGTTTGAAAGATATGTTACTGATCCATGCTCAATACACCTAAGTAGGACATAATGAACTTGGATGTTGAGGTGCATTTCTTCAGAAAGGATGGGATTTGTGACTGCAAACAGAATAACTACTGCAGTAGGTAACTTTTTGTCATATTTTCTGAAACTATATCCTGACAGTAGTTTATGAAACAGATAATCTATGAAAAAATCAGGTGCCTATATATATATATGGGAATGTATATATATATATATATATATATATATATATATATATATATATAATAATAATTTACATTACTACTGATGGAAGAGGTGAAGTACGGGGCCCAATCTCACAATTCAGAAATTGGGATAAAACACCCCTGGAAAAACTGTAACTTATTCTGTTTATTACCTCCAAATAATGCACGTTAGAACAGAATTTTGTATATTCCCCCTACATGCCCAAATTGAACAAATAGTGGCTAATTATTGCGTTATACAACAGAATCCATAGCATATAAAGCTCTCCTGGTGTGGAACAACTGGAATAGCAAACTAGGTTGCTACAGAGTGAATCCCTCAACAGAGAAATTCAACTGGTAGAACATGTAAAAATAAAGAATCTGAATGGTGGCCAAATCTGAACTAAATCCAAAGTGAGTGACAACTAGAGACTGAAAGAGGGCACAGAAACCAGCAGGATAACAGAACTATGTGTGTGTCCAAAATAGAAAACCACTGGAGATTATGAAAGTTTTGAAATAGATTTTCAAGGTTTTATGACCCTGTCTAGCAGCTAATCTTTTAACCCACAAGACAGGCTGATAAATAACCTCTGGACATCTGTATTTAATGGCACATGCTAATCTTATGTGCAATGTAAAAAATGTGACAGTATTGTGACTTGGCTGTTTTTGTAAATTTACATCAACATAACACATGGGGATGGGTACACAAGGTAACGTTCACTGTTGTATGACCACTTTGTACCATAAACACCAGAACCATGAACACTATTTAGCTATGAACAGGCGGGTGCGATGGGCTGCTGGTGGACCAGCAGGTGGCGGGGTGATGCAACAACAAACAGAGTGACAGAGCTCAGACTGAGTAGGTGGTGGTCTGCCTCTCTATCAGGCCTCATCAGTGTCAGTCATCAGAGAGCAGGTGGAGCCAGTGGATTCCCAGCAGGAGGGATGAGACCTTTGACCTCTGCCTGCTGTACAGACCCAATACTATGATATTAATCACTGGACTTAATGAAGTCTACATACACATGCAACCCCTGCCCCTGACTGGCAGATACACAGATATATTGTGTTGTTGTATGTAGTTTGTGTTGTATTTCAGTGGACAGTAGCCACAGTGGTTTTGCGTTGTACCTACATTGTTAAGAATGTTGCAACTAACAGAATATTACATACAATGTAGCACAATACTTTCTAGATGTATACTCTGTAACCTAGTGTATGTGGTGTTTCTATTTAAAATCCTTAATTCAAATCTTACGATCATTACAATTAATTGAAATGTAATGATTGAAACAAAACTGGTGGATTATTAATACATCTGCATTGATCTGCATCAAGTTGTACAATTTAGTAAAAGTAAAACCGGAAGTTGATTATGTTGCCTTCAGAATAAAACAGTGTGTGAATACTGAATAATCAAGTCTACTGTGTTTTCTGGTGTGCAAATCTGAAACAGTTCTAAAATAGATGATTCCTCACAGGATATCACAGATATAATATAAATATTATTTGTCACGTCATTAAATGCATCTTCTGATTTTACTTTTTTGTCCTTGGTGGCAATTATTTCTCATGTTGATTACTTTTTGAGACATTGCCTCTTATTTCCAGAACTAACGTCTCAACCTCTGTCTTCCAATGGTGATAGATAAAATCAATAACTGTACAGTGTAACCAGTAGCAAAATGTAGATTAAATCTCATGATGCTAAAATGAAGTATGTTTGGTTAATGTTGTTTGTGTGGGCTAAATTCTGTCTGGATTTTCTGTCTGGAATCAGATCACTGTAGGAATATGTACAATATATTAATGTTAATGTGATCATGACATTGTGTTAAAAATATTCATACAAAAAAGGTCAGAGGTAATGATTCTAGGGGTCCACACTTGGAAAGGTCCAGATGAAGTCCAGTCTATCGAGCCTATACCCTGATTTTATTGGGAGGGGGAAGCATTTTGACTTAAATGTCTGACTGCTAAATTGATCACAGTAGGCATTCTGACTTTGAGTAGTAACCTACTTCAAGATTGCTAGAATTATGCTGAGTATACTTACTTTTCAAATGGACATTTCTCTGCTTGACTGTGCTCTGGTGTTGGTTAACAAACCATTTCCTCCAATTGTGTTGTTGGGCAGAAAGTAATAGTAATAATAATAATAAAATTGGTTTATATGCTGATGATGCAGTAGTATTTATGTCAAACCCTACTGTATAAGATTCATTTTTAATGTAAACCAACACTCAATTTAGTGCTTTCCCTTGTTATAAAACAGATTTTTCCGAATCTGAAATTATGCCTCTAGGTCATATGTGTCAAACTCAAGGCCCGTGGGCAGGAACCTGCCCGCCACGTCATTTCATGTGGCCCGCAAAAGCTTGAAATGCGTATGGTTATCTTGAAATAAAGGTCTATCCTAATTTAAAGCGTACATTGACCATAAATTACATCTCCCACGATGCACGTCGATTTCGTGACCCACGAAGTGGCGGCCTCCCGCCACTAGATCCCAGTGTTTCCACTTCAGCGTTTAACAGGCGGTTTTCCAACCAGCGGAGATTAGAAATGTTAATTAATCCCAAAATGTCCAAGAAGAGAAAAACTGATGCAGAAGGAAGGCAATTTAATAAAAGATGGGAAAGCAAATATATGTTTGTGCTTCAAGGAGAAAAACCGGTGTGTCTTTTGTGTTATGAGGCAGTGTCTGTGGTGAAGGAGTACAATTTACATAGGTATTTTGACACCAAACACGGAGATAAGTATCCTAAATTTAGCCTCCAAGAAAAACAACAATTCGCCCAAGAATTAAAAGGCAGACTGCAATTTCAGGAGGAAATGTTCAAAAAAGCTCCAGCCAAAAATTATGCAGCAGTAAAAGCTGGATTTATTGTGGCTGAGAAATCGCCCGAGCTTCGCAGTGTTTTTCAGATATGGACTTTTAAAGTCAGTCAGTTTGTCAAGAAACACCATTGCAGACTGAGTTAAGGAACTCGCAGGAAATCTGACAAAACAGCTGGCCAAAGAGACACGCAGTTATCAGGCTTTTTCATTAGCCGCTGATGAATGAATTGATGAATATTAATCCTTTTTGGGCCGCAACTTAGACTATGTTTTGAATATTGGCCCCTTGTGTGATTGAGTTTGACACCCCTGCTCTAGGTGATCATCTTCAAATGCCTGACAAAAGTTTAAATATTTATATATATATTGCTTTTAAACAATATTATCTTAAATGTCTGATTGCCCATTTCTGCCAAACGTGACGAGAAAAAAAGGATTCTGTAAGTCATTATCAGCAAACTTTCTCAAAGTATTGACTTAGCATCTCAAAATAATGACTTATAATTAGTATCTCAAAATAATGAGACACTTTCTAAATATTTTGAGTCATCTCAAAATGATGATATAATTACATACAGAATCCTTTTTTAACCCCCATCACGTTGGCAGAAATGGGCTTCCATATATAAATGTGCTGCAGCCATAATCTTTACTACGTTTTTAGTTTATTTTGAAAGTCCTTGCCGGAACATTTTGTCGTATGTTGTGGCTGCCTTTACAGCGGCCCTCACACCATTCATTGACAAGGAGAAGGTGAATACAGCGTCTGGGGGACTTCTCTGTCTGTCTGCTGGCAACCTCATCGACTAACATCACCAACGCCCATAAAGTGGCAATATACAGGAAATGAACCGAGCTGCTAGAAGAAGAGCCGTCTTTTCGCGTTAAGTCTGACCGGCTCAATTGTACCAGTGCGGTGGTCGTGATTTTGGAGTGAAGCATATTGTATAACGTTATCAGTTATAGTTCTCTCATGCATTACATCAACTGTTTAAGTTAGCTGCTTTATTACTGCGTAGCTAGCCCTCCCTGTTCTGGACTGATACAACGTTTACTTCGATTGTTTGATTCCTGTCCACCCGAAAAATGGCAACCCAAATCGATAAAGAGGCTTGCAGAGAGGCTTACAACCAAGTCAGAGACGATAACACGGATACCAATTGGTGAGTGTGCAGACATGGTTCCTTAACCATACTCCGTTCAAGAATGTGACTATTATATATATATATATACTGCATTGGATATTTGCAGAAGTAAATGTGTCGTAGATATAACCCAGGACCTCGTTGGAATATTGATAACTCACTAGCCATTATTGACTTCGGCAACCATATAATATATCAAACAACCTGTTTTTCGAGCCAATCTCAGAAAAAAAAAAATGTAATTCACGGAACCTGTTACCGCCCACTGCGCCGTCTTTTCGGTGCTGAAGGGTACGAAAATGAGAAGCGGACCTTTTCTAAAAGTTTAAATTGTATTTAAATAAGCGCAGTTTTGCTAACTGGATATGCGCCGAATTGAAGATAGATACCTAAAGACGTAGTGGATGTAATGAACGGCATCTTGTGCCACGTCAACCACTGCCTTTAGCCGAGATAAGTTGAAATTGCTCGATATTTAGAAGTAGTTCAACCTGCTTTAAAAGAATACGCACTGGAATGGCACACTGGGGGTTTGCCGGCAACTGAGACCTTCGTGAATTGTTTCACACTTGATACGTGAAACCCTGGTTCCAGTGCTTGTGCTTATAACAATACTGGCTAAAATACACCCAGCTCTGTGTGTTGGCTGATCTGATCTGTATTCTGGCTATTTAGCGGTCACACGCGGCACAGTTATCAGGCCCAGCGGGGCAGAAGTAATTTCCTTTGTCCTGTATTCAGAGGAAAACGTTATAGTAGTGGCACTCACATGGATGACACACAGCTACCACCTTGCATGGGCGTCTTAGGCATTTTGTGCATTGCTTCAGATTGCAAAATGGGTCTGATGTGCACACAACGCCATTGTTGAGAATCAACAGATTATGAGACTGAATAATCCATAACGCACTGTGTGTTCTGCATCTTCCAGGGCTGCGTTTAAATATGAGGGCTCTAGGATCGTGCCTGCAGGACAAGGCTCTGACTATGAAGACTTCAAGAGGATGTGCACAGGTAAAGGGTCGATTTTATTTAAAATATGCAAACCTAGTTGTTAAACAAGCCTTACCGGTGTAATGTTTGCATGGCTGAAACCCATCTCCCTGCTGCTGACTAGTCTAGAGTTTGTAGTATGTGTGTGTCTCTGTCTCTGGATGGGTTAAACAGCCTATATGCCACACAGCTTGACTTGGCAGGACACTAATCTTTTAAGACTCTGTGCTCTGTCACCCATTGGCCTTGAGCCCTGTAACTACGCTGTCGAAGCACTTAACACTGTATGCATTACATTGCATAATCTGTTCAACTATGTCCTGCGTGTGTTTTTTTTACAAGGTGAAATATTTAAGGTCAGGCTTTTGTATATCTTTGCAAGTTTTTTTTCTGAATTGCAACAGAAAGATGTTGTTCTCCAGCTACACCCTAATGCGATAAGTTATTTTAACTCCAAAAAATTGTTGAAACGGATGACATAAAAAATCTAAGGAACACAGACTCAATTTTATAAGATAAAAAAGACTCTTGATTAAGCTAGTCATTTTAAGTGACACTGACTTAGTTTAAGTTATAGAAACATTCCTGATTAAGTACTTTTTACTAGGTATTTTGTTTTCACTGAACACATAAAAATGACAAAATTAAGTCAGTATCACTTAAAATTACTAAAGATACTTGGGCAAGAATGTTTTTCAACTTACAAAATTAAGTTAGATTTACTTAAAATGTTTGATGTAACTAGTTTCAACGATTTTTAAGTTAAATAAACTTATTTATTTATAGTTTAAAATGTTCACCTGTCACTTCCTCTGAACACAAAAAACGCTCTTACTGAAGCACCTGCATGCAGTGGGATTACAAAAATACAGTTTTCTTGTCTGATTGTGTGTCTTTTTTAATGAAGGATCATGTATTGGCTGCACAGCACAGTGATTAGCAGTATCTCTGTTTGCATGGAGCTCACAAAAAAGAGAGAAATAGCAAAAAGAGAGTCAAGTAGGGACTTTCAGATGATGTTTCCCAGAGATAATTAATAGGTGCTGGATGCATGTAGAGAAAACAAAATCTCACACTTGGGATGTAAGTTCCTCTAGAGTAAAGCATCTGCTCAGACGTTGGGTGTGGCTGTTTCTGATGCTTGCTCTTGTTGTCTTTAAAGCTTGCTGCCTTAGGGCTGTACTCCTGTTTTTTCTTTCTCTTCCTGACAGTTCGGGGCTCACATTCCTATGTTGAAATAACTCATTTATCGCCATGCTTTACAATAGTTGAGCAGCTGGTGCCATTGGTTCCTGTTCAGAGATGACACACACATTATCAGACATCTTTCTGCGTGTGGGTTTGTTTTCCTTATTTAGCAGTGAAGTTGTTACTCTGCAGAGAAAGAAAAAACCCCTCTGAGTGTAGGAGGAGCTGATGCAGACTGATCGTGCAGGGAGGCGGAAAGAGGAGGGCTCCTTTTTGAATAGTGATCTTAACTTATCCAGTGTCAGGAAGTAAAAATACATATCATTTCATTTCAAGTTTTAAACCCGATTTCTGCTGACAAAATGTAGCAACAACCAATAACTTATTTAGTCAATTTCATAAATTATTCATTGTAGGTCAGCAAACCATCAGCTAAAGGGAAATTCAGTCCTCAGTGTCCAATGGGAAGGTGTTTCTCAGGTTTTAAAATCTACAAAAATCTTCAAAAATCTATTTTGAAGACTAGATAGATTTGTAGATTTTTTAGCCACGTTAGCGACATATCTGTATGGATGTATGGATGGCAATGTTGGTCAGTCCGTCCAGACTGAAATTGATCTCCAGCTATTGGATGAATCGCCATGATTAATGATGAATTGGATAAAGACATTCATTGCCCTCAGAGGATGAATCCCGCTGACTCGATCCTGTAGCGCCACCAGCAAGTCAAAGTTTTCACTAATCCTTTCAAATAGATCAACATCTACTGGATGGATTGGGGCAACATTTTGTGCAGACATTCATAGTCCCCAGAGGATGATTCTGACTGGTCCTCATGTGCAGGCAGTTATTAATGATCAAAAGGGCCATTTTTGGCCAAAAATAAATCTTTCACCACTCACCATTTTTGGATTTGACAACTTTTACAACTAAATTTCCATTAAATTTGGGTCATATATTCAAGACGCCCATGATGAACCACTCACATCTTTATTGATCTTCTTTTTTCATCTAATGCCACCAGCAGGTCAGAGTGTACACTTACAAGAGATATCTGAACATGTATTTGATGGATTGGGTTCCAGACATGTGGATATGGTTCCCAGACAATGTATTCTAATGTCTTCACTCATTTCCTGACTTGCGCCACCTTGAAGTTCTTAACTCAGATTACCATGAACTTTGGTGCAGACAACATGAACCACCCAATAAAAAATGGAAAGGAGGCTTTATGCACATAATTAATAAACTCGGGTAATCCAATGTTTCCCACACAAGCAGCAGCACTAAATATTACATTTATAGTTACAGTTGACCCATGTAATGTGTGTAGAGGTGTCGTCGTGGTTATTTTGTAGCTACCTGGCTCCATTTGCATGTGATTCAATCAAGGTCACAGATGTGCTTAATGGCACTGGCTCTGACGCTGCACTTTCAAATCCGTCCTGCTGCCTTCAGATGCCTGTAGGAATCTGATCAACTGAAGGAAGACTGTTCAGACAGCATAAAGCAGCTGTACGACATATTAATTAGATAAATGCAGACTGATTTACTGTCATTTCTGCTTAAACCACATTCAACCATATTTTTGATGCATCTATTGGCAGGATTTTATTTAATTAAATTATTATATTTATGTAAAAGTGAAAATCTTGGCCTATTGGTGGCAGTAGAAGAAAAGTCAGAGGGTCACCTAAACCAAAGTGTTGCTTAGGGGCAAGTTTTTACCCGAGGGTGGAACCTAGATATAAAACATCTGGGTGGCACCAAAATCGATTTTTAGGGATCTGCACCAAATTGAATGGCCACACCCTCCTCAGGCCCTGCTGTTAGCTTAGATAAAAACAAGAGCAAGCTTGGACTCAGTTAACATGTTGGTAACACCACTCCTGGCCAAACCCTCCTGACACCGTTCACAGGAGACAGCTCTTGTTTCCAGGCTGTGTTGCAGAGGGACTGAGCGTGGGCTGAGGGAGCACACGCAGGAAGATACAGTGTCACCTGCCAACCTTTGGTGTGCTCAGATGAAGTCAATTTATGCAGAGCACCGTCCCTCCCAACAAGACTATTTTTTTTTGCTGTCTCATCACTGTTGTAGTTTCAGTGCAGTTGTCTCTGCGGTGGGGTGGGGGAGGCTGGCTGCAGAGTCAGCATTGCTTTAAAGGGAAGACAAACCAGGAAGAGTCTGGCAGAGGGAGGAAGTGTGGGTGTGTGGGCGAGCTCCAGGTTGGGGTGTGGGTATGAGTTGTGCTGGTTCCTCTCTGGCATTTCAAACGGTGACAATGGGCGATAAGACGAAGGTTCACCTTGAGTGTCACACACACAAACTAGTGATGTCATTTGTAGCCGCACTACAGTGGCTGCTCCTATTAATGGTGATAATGTGCGGCTGATCTGAAAACAGTGCTGCTAAGGCTCTGCCAGGAAAGCCATTATCAGCAGCTACAATAGGTACATAAAGATAATACAGGTTGCACTGTAAAAACTCTGCTTGAATCAGCTTGTTTCCGCCTTCAGGAGCTTTTCAGAATTGAAGTGTCTTAATTTAGAGTCCTAAAGTGACTATATTCATAGATTGAATTGTACTTGCACTAGCTTGAATTAAAGCAACAAAAAAAGAAAAAAACTAAAAACATTTGGGATTTTACACATGAGGGTCCGTTTACTTGCCATGTCCGACTCAGCCTGTGAAAAAGAGACATTATACAACATAATGTCATCTGTGGCTCTAAAGGGAGCTTTCTGAAGTCTGAGACAATAACCCTGATGGTCTCATCAGGTAGGGTCTAACAGCACGTCCCATTTACCTTGGAAGTTGGAGCTGAGAATGACGTCACACTCGGATCAACCGCGTTCCAGAACAAATGGGAAAACCAAGCTATAGCCAGGTTAGCCATTGTTAGCAACACATTACACAGTATTTTGGTCCTACAAACATGTCCACAGACAAACGTTGGACAGTACTGTGTGCACAACTTATTTAATGAAAAACAAAAGACAGAAGTGCTAATAAACAGTAAATTACAACAACTATCACTTAGTTGATGGCCAGAGTAGCCATCTTGAATTTTTAGGTTGGGGTTGGCAAGGTTCTTCCGATTTTCTGACTTCAGGGGTTATTTGAGTCAAAATGTCTTAATGGTGCATTATATTTGAATTCCCACTTCCCAGTTCATCTGGAATGCACTGTTATGAAAGATGCTTTTGAGTTGCATTATGGGAATTGTAGGACTACAGTGTTTTTGGTTGTTTTTTTTAATAGCACTACTGTATTTTGTTTCTCATTAAATCAGTTGTACACGGTATACTGTGGATTCTTTTGTATCTGAGGTAAATGGAATGCACCATTTTTTTTATTAACCTATTAATTTTGTGTCGGAGCAATACTGAATTACTTGATTGCCCGTATAGTATATTAAAACGGCCATCCACCGTTTTTATACCTCAGTGTCAGTTTACACTTGAACTGTTTCTGTGCGGTTAAAAACTAGGGATGTGGAGTTTGCAAGTTGTGGGCATTTACCAGGCAGGATGGGTCTAAAGAAAGATGCCATTGAGTTGAATAATGGCATGTGTAGGATCCAGTGTTTCTGACAGAGTCAGTCTTGGCCTCTCGATGGAGCGCCCCTCATTTAGTCAATAAAATGTCTTCTAATTTGAAGCCTTTAAAACACTAAAGTCATGCAAATAACACAAACAAACTAACTGATGGAGGAAGCAGTAGACCAGCAACTCTTGTGTTCTGCAAGGTTAAATTCTGTTTTTGTCAATGGAGTTTGGTGGCTTTGAACAAAGCAACAAAATAGCTGTTTCTGGGCGCCCGGTTAGCTCAGTGGGTAGAGCTGGCAACACATGTACTGAGGCTGAGTCCTTGCTGCAGCGGCCCAGGGTTCAAATCCGACCTGCAGCCCTTTGCTGCGTGTCATCCCCTCTCTCTGTCCCCCTTTCCTGTCTGTCTTCAGCTGTCACTATCATAAAGGCCATAAAATACCAAAAATATACTTTAAAAAAACTCTTACTTACTTACTTACTTACTCAACAAAAAGGTCTGTTTCTGTAGGGAACCTTTTCATAATGTTGTAGACACAATCTGAGCCTGTCAGTGGTTGAAGAACATCCTTTAAACAATAACTGAGTATCAAAAGTAAAAGGTTTACTATCAAGTCATCAATGAATTATGTGATAATGTCAGCAATAGTCTGAGTATAGCTGCTTTTTATGAATGTATTTTACATTAGTCTGACACCAGTGGAAACAAGCCAGTAATGATAAATACTGTCGCCCACTTCCACCCCTCCGAGCAGTGCTCCTGTCTCCCAGACTGGCTGGTGTGTGATGCTGTCACAGTCCCATTCAGTGGGGATGGGATGCTCCTCACTGTTGCTGCTCCCCTTTGAGTTTTAGGGTGATGTTACTTAAAAATGCTGCCGGGTGGAGCTTTAAAAGTGTCAGTCAACGGCGCACTGCAGGGAAGCTGACTTCTGGTCAATTTATGCCTGAACCAGTCATCAGTCACTTATGTCTAGATTTTGTTAACCCAGTAAGAATGTTAATTTCATGTGTGTCAGGGATTATCTCTGCCAGACTGTTCTGTTGAAGACTCGGGGACGTTGTATTCACAGAGGCAGGAACATCTGGAAGACAATAATGAGTAATCTGTTCATGTTATTGTTACATAATGACCGCCTGAAGTCAGCAAACAAGACAGCCTGAGTGCATTTGTGAAAAGGGAGATCTGTGTGAGAAATAAACTTCACTGATTCTATTTACTTCATGCACAAACTAAAGTTATGCAACTTCATGAGTAGCCTATGTTTCTCAACTCACTGTACCTCTGGGTTTGGTACCTCGTCTGGTTGTGCAGTTTGTTTTCTGTGTGTGTCTGGCGTAGTGGGAATATATAGTTTTCATTGAGACTATCTCGTACTAACTACCTAGCTGAGTGTGTTTTCTGCCTGCCAATAGACTGTTGCATGAATGAGTCCTAAAACCAAGAAATGAGATAGCATTTTGGCACTTCCGATTCCTGTGCTTCAAAGTTGATGGCTTTTTTTCTCTCTTTTTTTTTTTAATGGGTTTTTGGTTAGATGTCTGAAATAAGGTCTGTGGTTAACACAAGCCTAAAGATCCCCTCTAGTCATGTATTAAGTCATATATAAAAAATGGTCTGCTTGGAACAATAATGTGCGTAAGATGTTTTTCCGAAAGAAAAAAATATAATTTCAGCATTCAAAATTTAAAAAAAGGCATTTTTTCCTTCTAACTCATGAAAAATATCACAATATATGAAAATTGTGTTCATTTATATAGTTTTCCTGCTGGACACAAATGCCACAGGTGGCTTTAAGTTTCTACGTATCACTTTGTATTCACAAATAATAGAAAAGCCAGTGTATTAAATGCTATTTTATTAGCATTTGAGAAATGTGTTACCAATACTACCAGTGAAGGACTAAAGAGTCTGAGCTGTAAAGATCAAGATCCTAACTCACAGACATAGAGCCTGTCCACATGAATACGCGGCCTCACCCGATACGAAATAAATCTCCGTAAACACGGCGTCGTTTCCAGAAATATCTGCGTCCACACGGATTCACTGAAACGACCCAAGACGCTGCAGTCCATATGCCAGGCCTGTATGTGTGTGACGCCGCCACACCAATTCACTAAAACCGGAAAAGAAGCCATGGAGCGTGCGCTGTTTACAAACAAGTAGTAGTAGGCCGCCATTGTTGTTGTTGTTATGACGCGTCTAGTGGCAGCAGCTGAGGTTAAACGCTAGAGAGGCGGGGCTCATACGTCATCGTTTCGGGAAAAATACATTTTCGCCGTCCAGATGACTCCGGGCAATCCGGCGTTTTTGGATTTTCCCACTCTGGGACCCGTTTCCAAAAAATACCGTTTTCACTCCCCGAAAACGCCGTATCCGTCTGGACGCGAGGCCGATACGATAAAGTATTTATCCGGATTCGAAAAAAACGTATTCGTGTGGACAGGCCCCTAAAGCTGCAGTAGGTAATTTTTATAAAAAATAAATTTGTGTCAATTTTGTAAGAACTTTCACTACCGGTATATCCTGAAAGATTGGCTGTTGTCATTCAGGCCCGGTAGATTCTTGCAATCAGGATTAGGAGAGCTAAAACGAGGCAGAGGAACCTGATTTTTTTCACAGATTATCTGTCTCATGTTCTACTGTCAGAATATAGTGACACTTTCAGCAAATATGACAAAAAAGTTATTTTTATAAAAATGACCTACTGCAGCTTTAAGCATGTGGCACTATGTCCAGTACAATACCCATATCATGATTACTTTAGACAACTTTGTCCAGTTTGTATTCAATCAGTAGGCATTCATAACTCATATAGGAGACATTACTAGAGAGTTACAATGCACGTAAACACAAAGCTTTCCCCTTTAAAATCCACTGTTTCCCAACCTAACTGACTTGTGACCCTTTATTGTTGAGCTCTCTTAGTATGAGTGACATTACATCATTACATTATGTTTGTGAACAGTTCATCCTAAAAACTGATGTTCCCTATTAATTGCCCATTGCTTCATTTGAATAGGATTTAGAGGCATTAAGAGGAACAAAGCAGCAGGAATGTTTTTTTAGCCTGATTGCGTGTATAGTCCGTTCTGAAGTGGGCCACCGTGAGAGTGACCGGCGTGGTCACTGGGAGGTGGTGTCACAACTGCAAGGTTTACAAAAGATTTAACTCATTTATTCTGGTGACCTGAATATTTCCTCGTTGCACACACACTTCACAAAACTTCACCCAAAAAGCAGAACCCTGTATTCATCTGCACTGCAACTCTGAAACTCTTTGTTCTCACTGTCTTTGTCTGTCTTGTGTCTTGTGTGTGGAGAACTCTTGAGTGTGTGCGGCTTCTGCTAGGGTGTGACGTAACATTGTCAGCTACAAGCACCTTCCATCTGTACATCCAGCCTTACGTAGCTTCTCCCATCTCTTCCCCCAGATGACGCTCGTCTGTTCGGCTTTGTTCGGATCACAACGGGAGACGCCATGAGCAAACGAGCTAAGTTCACTCTCATCACCTGGATCGGTGAGAACATCAGCGGGCTGCAGCGCGCCAAGATCAGCACCGACAAGGCGATGGTCAAAGAGATTGTGCAGGTCAGAGACTGTGGCGTTGCATGTGGAGAGAGTAGCAATCAAAATAATGGTTGCCATCATAAGACTAAAATAGAGAGAAGCTATAATGGTCCCTTTGAGAATAATGGGTGGTTACAGAGGCAATATGGCAACAGAATGCTGGATACAGTTAGACAAATAAGAAAACAGAAAACCATTTCTCTAGATGATATGAAGACGGAACGTAATGGGGGAAACATAATAAACAGAAAATAGAGAGTGTAAAAGGACCAAATCAAGATTCTTGTGAGGTAGGACAGATGCAGTGAGAAGTCATAGTTTAGATAGTTTTTTCTAGAAAAAGATGAAAACTCATTGAAAATGTTCATACTTACTTACCCAGCCTTTGGGTTTTTCAAAGTGATCAAATGTGCATATTGTTTCTCTGTCATCATTAGTTGTCCTGTTTAAAATCCTCAGTCATTGCTTTCGTAATGCCAAACAGCTGATGTAAATTTTGGTACATGCGTTTATCCTTCGGTAGCACTGCTCTTTACTTCAGCATGTGTTTCATTTCTGCAGAACTTTGCCAAGGAGTTCATGTTTAGTGACCCGAGGGAACTGGATGAGGACAATATCCGCATGGAGCTGAAGAAGGCGGGTGGAGCCAATTATGACGCTCAGGCCGAGTAGCGACGTGCCACGGTCCACTGGAAGGGTTGGGGTCGGGGAGGGGGGGTCGGGTCTGGTTTGGTGGGGTGGAATAAGTGGGGTCGGGGAGTGTTAGGGCAGGGCTGCTATCTCTTGGGGAGAGGGCGAGGCGGGATGGAGAGGGCACTTGATGAAAGGGAAATGCATGCACCGGACACACACACACATACACACACACACACACACACACACACACACACACACACGTTTTACCTCCAAAGTGAGGTCCAGAAAGAGACCTCATGGTGAACGATTTGGTAATTTTCAAGAACACAGAAAGCAGAGGTGCACCAGGAGCAATCTGTAGAACCAGTGTTTCAAATACTAACCAAACACTGTTTATGCTTATGGCTTATTAGAAAACAGCTAGTTTATTAATGTACTCTGAACAACAGCTGCAGAATAAGAACAGATCTGAGTTACTGTAGAGTGTTTTGGCACAGATCCTGACAATACAGGTGCTGTAGGTGCACCTCTAAAATGACAACATCTGCATAAGGGCGCTTATGTACTCGATTTTAACAAAGCTTATGTGTGAGCAGCATTGTTCACTTGCTTGCAGCGGTTTGTGCATCTGGAAGATTAAAAGAAGATTAAAGTGCATGAATTGTATCAGGTTTTGCACGCATAAATATACTTAACGTGGTGACACTGAAGGACGCTATCGTATTGTTAGTAAGGAATAATTAGATGAGAAGATTGGTGCCACTTCAACGTCTTTACAGTTAATTTATAGTTGGAGCTACCACCCCTCACTAAGTAACATTATGTATCCTGTCTGTTTAGTTTGTAGAAAAAGTGTAAAAACAGCACAGAAGCAGTTGCCAGGCAACTAATAGAGACTCCAGGAAGTCACTGTTTTTGGCCCAGGAATAGTCGGACATGCATATTTTTACACTTTTTTTACCAATGCAAATGAGATATATATATAATAAGCTTTCAAAATGTTGGTATGTATGTTCTTTTTTTTCTACCTCCACCTCTTTATGCTAAGCTAAGCTAAGTAGCTTCATATTGAATGGACAGACATGAGAGCAGTATTGATCTTATCTCGCTACCATCAACAAAAAAGCAAACAAGCAAATTTCCCAAAACGAGATCACACTGAAAAACTGATTTCTGAGGATGCACGCGACCAACACTCTGAAGTAACATGCTAGCTAGCAATCACCCACACACTAACGCGTAGTCAAAATCAAGTGTATGAGCGCTCTTTAAAGATCACTGATGGCCTTCTCTACTCTCCTACCCTCTGCCCTCTCCCCGGTCAGCTCATGGTTGGTTATCTACTGTGCTGTGCATCATCATCTCGTACTCATCCTCATCTCAGTTGAGCAGCAATATGAAGTTACATCGAGGCTTCAGCACTGTTTGCTAGGAATGATTTCATGTAATGAGGATGTGAATAAACGAAGGGTTTCACTTCAAAATCTCATATTGTGATCATGGATCGTGTCGTAAGAACATGTTCATGGACACGGATAGATTTCTCATTTTTTTTAAATGAAGCTCTTTACTCGCAGGCATGTGTTTGACACCAGAGCATGCTCTTAGTCATGATACACTGTACCTCCAGGAGGAAAAGATCTCCATTTTCTAACGATATCCTTGGCGATGGTTGCTTTGAGTCATAGTGCTGAGTACACTTTTAGCCACCTCTTCATCTGCAGCCAGACAGCTGTGTTTGGATTACAGCCTCAAAGTCAACCATTACGTCTTGCCCTGAGATGGACTGTAAATCAACCCCTGCCATCATACTTGCTCGCTTTGTGCTGTGAATCGCTTTGATCACAAGCCCAAATGTGTCCTTTTTGTGTTTTCGGACCTTATTTCAATGTACTTTTTGCTTTCTCCTTCCAGTTTCTGTTAATTGTTTCCAGAGCTGTGGCAGAGTACATGGCAAAAAATGAGATTCTTGCTCTTCCAGGGGGCTTTCTACCTGTGGATATGCCCTAGAAAGAGAAACAACTAGTATATGGATTCATCAGCAGCACTAGCAGTCAAGTAATGAATGTTTCCCAAAGGATTTTGAGAATGGAGATCTTTCCCTCTGGTGTCTCATCTCACGATCTACCCCTTAAAGATATCCATGCATACTGTAACCTACTGTGTTTGACTGCCTTAGTCTCCCAGGGAGAGAGGGGCATCATGGGAGCTTGTGGACACTACACTGTGATTGGCTATCCTCCTTACATGGGGGCGGGACTTTGATCGGCACATGGCCCATGACAACGTGGGCCTGGGCATGTCATCCCAACCCAGGAGGAGCCATTTCTCGGTTGTAGCATCTCTGTTTGTTTATTTGGTTTCAACCCTCCCTTCCACCCTGCAAAAATTAGGATTTCTTTTTTTTTTTGTTGTACTTTTATTTTGTTTTTGAGATGAATTTTATTTTCTCTGAACCTTGACCTTTTGATTGCTTTTTAAGAGCATTGTTATCTTGGATATTGGCAGAAGACATTTTCAAAAAAAAGAATGCAAAAAAAGAAAAAGAGAGAAAACTGAGTGGGCAAAAGATCAGTCATTTCAAAATAAAAATTGATGTTTTTTTCCAAAACCTGCTTCTCAAAGTGTCTTTTGTGTGTCACTGAAACGTACAGTACTATGGATAGTTACAGACTACAAGTTTGGAAATGAAAATATCTGAGGGTGTGGAGCGAAGCCAGCTTACCAGACCTCTATAGCCCACTCCTCATCTATGCTGGTGGCTATCTTACTAGCATAAGCTACTGTTACTAGCATAACATGCCCGAACTTCCGACCAAACCAACCAAAAGTCCAAAGTCGGTGGTTGAGTTGCATAACCATTGTGGGTAATGTAGAGAAGAATGCGTAGAATAAAAAAGATCATCCTCATGGTTCATCTGGTTTTTAAACATACAGTATATCATTTCTGCAGCTAGGAGGTCTCTCACACCAACACAATAACAAAGTTTGATAATGTCATAAAGTAGTGTGGGATCATGGGAGTTGTTGTCTTCACCACAATTGCATTCATCTTCTCTACCGGGAGCCCACATATCCACAGAGGTCTCCTCCTCTCCAAAACAAACAGACCCACTGATTAAAACCACTAAACACACTGAATAAAGCAGTTCCACCTTAACAATCACTGCTTCTCCCACACTGTTGGACAGACAAAGGACGTCCTGGAGGGGCTGCGAGCCGAGCTAATGCTAACGTTAGCTCAGCTTGTTTCTCTGATAACTTAAGATCCAGACGTCTGATGACTAAAATCCTTCATCTGGTTCAAATCTAGTTAGTTACAAAGCACCAAGTTCAGTGACTGGTGAAACACAGCGTTCCCTGAATAAAATGAACGGTTATCTCTGAGTTTGAACATTGTTGAAACATTTGGGATAATGTCAGTACACAACTCAACTACATATAGAACATAGAGCTAGAGTTTATACACTGTTTAATGATTATAGATTATTGATTGACTCAACTACATATAGAACATAGCTCTAGAGTTTATTGACATTTTAATGTAAAAATGTTACATGTTAGGGGCTGAGTCCTTATTGCAGCTGCACAGGGTTCGAGTCTGACCTGTCTCCCTTTCCTGTCACTATTCAGCTGTTATCAATTAAAGGCAAAAAAAGCCCCCAAAGCCCAAATATGATAATGAAATTCATTGGATTAATGCAGTTACTTGTATGAAGCTGCATTTTTCACAAAACCAATCGACATGGAACCAATAGTGATTTTCCTTCATATCCTTTTGGCTTCTTCTGTCAGTATGGCTTTAAAATAGATTTTAAATTGCATTCATAATGCTCTTAAACACTCTTAAATTTAACCTACAGAAACCTGCAGAAACCCAGTGGGAGTGCAATGCTGTGACGCTAGTAAAAACCAAGGTTTCTTCACTCTACCAAATTGGGGTTTTTCAGATCTCTTTCTGTTACAAGTGTAGGATGAGGTAATGGGAGCATTTTGGCACTTGTGGATTCAAGGTCCACACAGCAACCGTCTCTGAGAGCTTAGGGGACTCCCAGGGGTTTCCATGGTCACCACTGAAACTGTCACGCTTAGCCAGTGAGAAATCAGGGAGGAAGACAAAATGTTTTGTATTGTTCTGATCATACAGTCTCAATTAGGTCATCACTATCTGTCCACGCCCTTCTGTTGTAGCCAAACCGCCCTACCACATCTCAGCTGCCTTCATAAATAAATACGTCACTTATTAAATGTTAGTCATTTCAGAAGAAATGCTATAGTTTACTTATTAATAACGGGGAGCTGTAATGCTGTTTGCTACTGTGTCTCTGCTATGCTAACATCCTCTCTTCCTCTCTAAATCAAATTGTACAGAGAATGATCAGATTAGTTGCACTCAGAGAATATTTTCTTTCACTGCGCCCGCTATTTACACTCTTCAAGATACAATACATTACTCATAAGTGTGTTAACATTGAACACTGCTTCCTAATTACTGAATACACAGTCAGTAAGCCTCATGGTCAGGTGTGACAAGCCCACAGAGGTCAGAGACGGTCAGTGAAGTAATCAAAGGAAGGACACCAATAAAGATTTCCAATAAAGAGGCCTAATTTGCGTGTTCTCCTGTCGCTTTCCATGCCAGGTTTTCAGTATGAGTGACGGCTGCCGGTCTATATCAGGTCAGCCGATGGCCCTGCAGCCGCTCAAACCCACACACCATCAGCATGTGTGTGATGTGTGAGTTATTCTGCTACAGCTGTCAGATGAATGGATTAATGGCTTGTAGGCATGACTCAGCTGCTGATCAAACATGACTTCTGTCGAGTGAGTGTGTGTGTGAGTGTGTGTCTGACAGGCTGGCTGGGTGGTTGCAGTGATCTATTGGGACTAATAGCAGGTTGCATAATAACAGAGCTCTGGTATCGCTCACTGTGGCTTTAAGTAAGCTGTGAATGTGAGGAAGAGAGTAGTTAAGGAGTTTAAGCTCATGCTACACTGTGTGAGTGTGTGTGGGAGCTAAGGCTAGTTGAGACAGGAATGTATGTGTGTATGTGTCTTAAGGGGCCATATTAATCAGGGTTACACCTTTAATGCATATTTCCTGCTTTTATTTTGCTGTGCTCAGGTTCCAAAGAATGAGGAACCACTGGTGTCAACATCTGCCTCCTAATATGGATATACCTTTAGGCTGCACAATTCTAAGGTTGCTTCCTTATTTATTTATCTTTTTTTATGTGCCTTTTTTCACATCCTAAGAAACCATACAACTTCACAGTTTCCCCAAGTGCAACCAGAGTTCAATTTCCCTTGTTCTCACCTGTTCAGAAAAGGCCAAAGGAAGGGCTGTATCAGCTGCTGAGAGGCTGTACCGAAGCACAGCGGTGCTTTGAGCTAAATGCTATTTTCAGAATAATAACATGACAATACTAGCACACTGATGTTTAGCAGATGATGTTTTCCAATGCTTGTCATGTTATTTTAGCATGATAGCATGCAATCATTTGCTAATTATTGCTAAACACAAAGTAAAGGCTAAGGTCAAAGGCAGGGTCAGTCATTCTGGAGAAAGATTATACCGGCTTCGCTCTCCTTCTCTCTTCTTAGCTTCCTCTATTGTGCTCTCTGGTCTCTTCGCTCGTGCCATTAGCCGTTGAAGCGGCTGAGCCCACACTGTTAATGGACCCCAGTGTACAGAAATATATTTAAATGCACTTGGTGAAAGTAACACATTTACACCACATGTAAAAAAAAACAAAAACTGCATGGTTTTTGCACCAAAACTGCATGGAATTAGCATGAAGTGGGCATGTCTACAAAGAGGAGACTTGTGGGTACTCATAGAACCCATTTTTATTCAGATATCTTGAGTTCAGAGGTCAAAGGACCCCTTTGAAAATTGGCCATGCCAGTTCTTCCATCACCAAAAATGATTTAGCCTCCTTCCTGACTGCTAGCATGCTACAGCCTCACTTGTAGCGACCCAAAACCAAAAGTCACATAGTGCAAGCAGCCGTAGGGGGGCCCAGAGTGGGAATGACAGTGGCACAGTTCACCCTGTTACGACTCAGTGTAGCATCAAAATGATAGTGAAGCTGTTATTTTAAGGCAGAAAAGTTACCTAGTGTTGCTTTAATATTGATGTAGTCAACATAGCAACACAGGCAATACATGGAAGTTGGCTCGTGGCACCAATGCAAAAAGTAGGTCAAAAGTTGTTTCATTGAGCCACAAAAACGGCTAGTGGGGGCTGCTGGTACGATAATGACCACAGTGTTACGGAAACCCACTCACACAGACATTAATTTGAACTCTAACCACTACTTACAACATAAAACTCTGGTCAGTGAGGAGGAAGATAGAGTGAGGAAGGTGCAGCCGGTCTGTGGGGAAACTGCAGGAATACACAGAGTGGATGGGGGGGGATCAAGTCGAAACTGCTAACTCTGCAGGCACCACCACATTCACACCACAAATGTTTCACCTCATTAAACATGTTTCACTGTTTGTATATAACTTCAGGTCTCTTTTACACACACACTACAGTGATTGTGTATTGGGTTCTGAGCTCTCCTGAAATGCAGATGACCTACACTCAGTACTGCCCCTGAACACAGCCTGTGTAGACACAGATGGAGGACTGAAGCTGCAGCTGCAGCTCTGCTAACGTGCTACTTTCACTCCGCAGGTTGTGTAGACATTGTTTAAGTCTTGTTTTCACACGTTTACAACGGGTGATATACAACTGCAGGCTCACGACCCATCTCTGAAAGGCTGTTTCCATTATCACACTATAGGTGTGCTTCTTCCGTTACTTTTCTACTACCCCCCATCCCCTCGTTCCTTTCACCTTACAGTGCATGTCCTGACAGCTCCAGTCAGCATGGCCAAATGTAAATGTAGGCAGCATCATCAGCCGTAGCGTGGCCTTTACCCATTCTGTGTGTGTGTAATAATGTGTGTCGGAGAGAGAGTGAGAGAGAGAGATGTTAGCATACAGGACCTGTAGGAGTGTCCAAACAAGGACTGTCAGATCAGTTCCTGCAGTGCGATACCACTCAGATCCTTCCTGCATTCCTGCGACCTCCTCAGAACAGCAGCATATTTTACAACCCACAGCAAGTCATGTGCTCTGTCCAAGCATGCATGTGTATTTGCGTGTGTGTGTGTGTGTGTGTGTGTGTGTGTGTGTGTGTGTGTGTGTGTATGAGAGTGAGATAGAGAGAGAGTGAGAAAAAGGAAGAATTGTCTTTGTTTTAGCCACCCAATGTCTCCAAATATTTGTTGTGATTATGATCTTGTATTTTTATCCATATAAGAAAAATACTACACATAATAGAATTTTGGACTTGGTTTTATGGTAAGTATTGTGATTCATTTCAAATTGGGTGAATTGACTCTTCCCATGTTTTGCCCCTTTTGGAACCTCGGTCAACTTTCTCTTTCCCTATATGCTAAATGCTAGGCTAATCTGTGTTGAAAAGACAACCACATTTTTATTTCAGTTCAGTTCTCTTCGTTTAGAAACAATTCATAACAGAAGTTATCTCAGGACACTTTTCAAATAGAGCAGGTCTGGACCGAACTCTTTAAAACATTATTTACAGAGACCCA